GTGCGTACACAGGTGGGGGCCCTTGAAAAATTTGGGGGGGTTATATGCTTGGGTGTAACTTTAATTTTTAAAAAATAAGAAAAACATTTTTTTTTTACTTAACTTTTTTTTTTAAATCACTTGGGGCACAAAAAGTCCCCTATGTGATAATTTTTGGGTAACAGGTTGTCTTTTTTGAGGCATCCTGGGTCTAAAAGACCCTGCATGTCTCCCCTGTGCTCCACTGAATGTAAGGCAGTGCACAATGCACTGCATTACATTCTTTCCCAGCCGCGATGATCAGGAATCTGCCAACGGGGACCCAAAAGTGATGTCACATTACTTCCGGGTCAGGACAAGAAGAAGAGGGGAGTGGATGTGTCCGTTCTCCTCCCTCCCCTATTCTTGGTGGCACCCACTGAACCGGTCCCAGGCCCGCAGATGGGCAAGCGGTATCTGGGAGACATAGCGGGCAGGGGGGTGGAGGCCAGCAACATAATTGGATGTGTGGAAGCAATCAGGCGGCAGCCCTACCGCCTGAATGCTTCCACCTAACAGCTAAAGATGAAAAAAAAAACTACCTGCCTGGTGCCTGGAACTACAAGCCTCGGGCGTCGGGCAGTATGAATTGAACATCCCTGTTTCCTCAGGCAAAATGGGCCAAAAAGAGATTTAACTGACTGAAAAGTCAAAAAAAGAGATTTAACTGACTGAAAAGTCAAAAATTGTAAAACGTCTTTCAGAAGGATGCAGCACTCTTGAAATTGCTAAAATATTGGCGCATTATCAAAGAACCATCAAACGTATTGTTGCAAATAGTCAACAGGGTCACAAGAAATGTGTTGAGAAAGAAAGACGCAACTGAGATTAACTGCCAAAGACTTGAGAAGAATCAAACGTGAAGCTACCAGGAACCCATTATCCTCCAGTGCTGTCATATTCCACAACTGTAACCTGCCTGGAATGCCCAGAAGTACAAAGTGTTCAGTGCTCAGAGACATGGCCAAGGTAAGGATGGCTGAAACCCGACCACCACTGAACAAGACACATAAGCTAAAACGTCAAGACTGGGCCAAAACATATCTGAAGAAAGATTTTTTCAAAAGTTTTAGAGACTGATCAAATGAGAGTGACTCTTGACGGTCCAGATGGATGGGACCGTGGCTGGCTCAGTAATGGGCACAGAGCTCCACTTCGACTCAGACACCAGCAAGGTGGAGGTGGGGTACTGGTATTGGCTGGTATCATTAAAGATGAGCTCAAGATGGACTCAAAATCAACTCCCAAACCAACTGCCAATTTTGAGAAGACACTTTCTTCAAGCAGTGGTAAAGAAAAAAGTCTGCATCTTTCAAGAAGACCATGATATTTATGCCAGACAATGCTCCATCACATCCTTTGAAGTACTCCACTGCGTGGCTAGCCAGTAAAGGCCTTAAAGATGGATACATAATGACATGGCCCCCTTCCTCAACTGACATAAACCCTATTGAGAACTTGTAGGCCCTTCTTTAAAGGGAGATTTACGGTGAAGGAAAACAGTACACCTCTCTGAACAGTGTCTGGGTGGCTGTGGTTGCTGCTGCACAAAAAGTTGATCATCAACAGATCAAGAAACTGAGAGACTGCATGAATGGAAGGCTTATGACTGTTATTAAAAAGAAGGGTGGCTATATTAGTAACTGATTATTTTTTTTAAATGTCATAAATGTTTATTTGTATATTTTGCGTTGTTTGTTTTGTGCACACATATATATTCTCCTACAAAAGCCAAAACTTCACTTTTACTTTCTGAAATATTCAGGTTTGAGGTTTTCTAACATTTTGTATTGACCGAGAGCACTGTAGTTGTTCAATAATGAAAATAATCCTCAAAAATACAACTTGCCTAATAATTGTGCACACAGTGTATCTTAACTCTTAAACATTGTGCTTGCGTGTTTTTTTGACACTGAATAAAAAAGCTCCAGGGAAATGTTAACTAGAAGGAAATGGGTTAAAATCACTTTGGCTTGGAAGAGCTCATCCCTGAAGTTTACAGAACTTGGATTCTGCTTGATGGAATGATTTATGAAAAATGTCTGCAATTCTGAAAGATGAACTTTGGCTGGACTCTTACCCTCTCCCACCCGCCCCCCCCCCCAGCCACCCCTCTTGCTTTTTTTCCTTCTTTTTCCACTGTGTTATACTTTGTTTAGATTTGAACTCCATTAATACATTTTCTAAAGATCAAGATCCATGAAGATAACCTAGCTAGCAGGATTGTTAATATAATTCTTCTTACAAAACTCATCCTAGATATTAAAACCTCTACCTAGCCCTCATATATTGCTCAAAAAAATATGTATGTGTATATTTTTGTTTTATGTGTTGCTGTCATTCCTCACATTCACACTATGAAGAGTGATACTAATCATGCAGACCTATGTTGTGCAAGAGACCTTTTTTATATTGTTTACAGACACTTTCTATGGTTTCCAATAGAAATAAAGAACTAAAATCAGTTGTGGTTAAGAGAATCTGGCATTAGTGTCAGTGTAATTCATATACTGTGCTGTAGGTGGGGCTTCCTGCCTGTACAATTGAAGACACAGTTACCTAGCTTCTGCATCACTACACCATTGAAGTGACAAGGACACACATACACACTGAGATTCCACATTATCAGTTCAGTTTCTGTTTGATTTAAATACCCAGTAAGGGTAGGTCTGGTGATATTTACTTTAATTTTTTTTTTATGTAAAGGATAAATCAATGATATTTAAAAGTTTATTGTTTAAAGTGGATGTCCAAGAAAGAATGAAAAATAAAATAGTCTACATAACATTGCAAGTGCTAAGTGATACAGGGTCTACCTCTTTACAGAGCTGCATTGTCACTGTGGAGCAAGAGGCTAGGTGTAAACTTTTTGGGTATACCTCCATTTCTTTGTTTCACTACACGGACCTTGACCCTGCAGTGTTAAAAAGCAAACAGAAAAGAACAATTTCAGCTCTCTCTTGGTATTCTTAGGGCTCATGTACACGAGGAGTTTGGAAAACTCTTCTGCACGAATGGAAACTGACTGCTGGAAAACGTAGGTTAAAAACCGTCAGTTTAGCTGTGTTTGTATACAGCGTTTATGCGCGTTTATGTGCGTTTGCGTCTAGAAGCGTTTTTAAAAGATAACCTCAGGAGACCTTCCCAAATTCCCAGAATGCACTGAAAAATAGTAAAAAATTTACTATTTCAGCCATTTTGAGAGGAATAGAGAGAGCAGTATGTGTTGAGATGACCTGTCTTTTCTGGTTGTATTCACTATGGATCCCATCATGAGCATAATGCGGCACGTTTCTACCATTTTTTCCTTCATGTGAAACCTGGAACTGACTGCGCTGGTGTACCGGGTCCATTTGAATACATGGAAATGCTTTGCATGCATTTCTGATGATGAAACAAGGCTCTGGACAGCATCTGGACATGGAATAGTTAAAAAAACACTTCTAAGCGCAAATGCTTATAAATGCGGTTAACCGCGTTTATAAGCGTTTTGAAACACCGGTAAAATCTACTCCTGAACGCAAGTTTGGTGCGTTCAAAAAAATGACTGTAAACTCAACTGCCTGTAAATGACTGTAAATGACGATGTGTACATGGACACATAGGAAAACATTAGTTGGAGTTCAGGGGCTGCTGAAAAAAATGCTGAACAGCTCCTGACCGTCAGTTTATCAGCTGCAGTGTACATGAACCCTTAAAAAAAACCCAGCAATTTTTGTAACATTTTTTCATGTCTATTAATCTCTGTATGAAGGCATTTAACAAAATATATAGGGCGTTCAATGTATATACATGTATTCTATACAAACAGCTAAAAATGTATCTATTGCAATAACTGTCCTTGAACCCAACTTCTAGTCATTCAGTCTTATTCATTGTACATGGGGGGGCTCCATCTCAGCGTATTTATCAAGCTGTGTACAGGGGAAGAATGGCCCATACAGAGGGATAGAACTTATTACCCAGATTTGGGATTGCAATTCAAGCGCTGTCATCACTAGGAAACAATATAAATGCCACAGCTCCTGTTCTGAAATGCAGTTTTCAACCCCATATGGTTCTTTTTCTAACCATACGGTGTACTATACTAAATTTAATGTTAATATAATACCCTAATGACTGATATGTCAGTGCAGATTAACCCGTTCAGCAAGTTTGCATTTATTCAGAGCAATTTGCTTATTATTATTTTTTGAATTTCCCTTTAACTTGTAAATTGTTTGAAATCAATGTGAATTTACTAAGCCTAATGTTGAATATGATCCCTTATAGCAGTGGTTCTCAACCTTTCTAACGCCGCGACCCCTTAATACAGTTCCTCATGTTGTGGTGACCCCCAACCATAAAAATTATTTTCGTTGCTACTTCATAACTGTAATTTTGCAGTAGGAGGAATAGTGCCACGTCATTGGTGTCAGTGGGAGGAATAGTGCCCCATCATTGGTATCAGTGGGAGGAATAGTGCCCCGTCATTGGTGTCAGTGGGAGGAATAGTGCCCCCTTCATTGGTGTCAGTGGGAGGAATAGTGCCCTGTCATTGGTGTCAGTGGGAGGAATAGTGCCCGTCATTGGTGTCAGTGGGAGGAATAGTGCCCCGTCATTGGTGTCAGTGGGAGGAATAGTGCCCCGTCATTAGTGTCAGTGGGAGGAATAGTGCCTCGTCATTGGTATCAGTGGGAGGAATAGTGCTCCATCATTGGTATCAGTGGGAGGAATAGTGCCCCATCATTGGTGTCAGTGGGAGGAATAGTGCCCCATCATTGGTGTCAGTGGGAGGAATAGTGCCCCATCATTGGTATCAGTGGGAGGAATAGTGTCCCATCATTGGTATCAGTGGGAGGAATAGTGCCCGTCATTGGTGTCAGTGGGAGGAATAGTGCCCCCTTCATTGGTGTCAGTGGGAGGAATAGTGCCCCGTCATTGGTGTCAGTGGGAGGAATAGTGCCCCGTCATTGGTGTCAGTGGGAGGAATAGTGCCCCCTTCATTGGTGTCAGTGGGAGGAATAGTGCCCCGTCATTGGTGTCAGTGGGGGTAGGAATAGTGCCCCGTCATTGGTGTCAGTGGGAGGAATAGTGCCCCGTCATTGGTGTCAGTGGGAGGAATAGTGCCCCGTCATTAGTGTCAGTGGGAGGAATAGTGCCCCATCATTGGTGTCAGTGGGAGGAATAGTGCCTCATCATTGGTATCAGTGGGAGGAATAGTGCCTCATCATTGGTGTCAGTAGGAGGAATAGTGCCTCATCATTGGTGTCAGTAGGAGGAATAGTGCCTCATCATTGGTGTCAGTGGGAAGGAATAGTGCTCCATCATTGGTATCAGTGGGAGGAATAGTGCCCCATCATTGGTGTCGGTGGGAGGAATAGTGCCCCATCATAGGTGTCAGTGGGAGGAGGAATAGTGTCCCATCATCGGTATCAATGGGAGGAATAGTGCCCCATCATTGGTATCAGTGGGAGGAATAGTGCCCCATCATTGGTGTCGGTGGGAGGGAGGAATAGTGCCCCATCATAGGTGTCAGTGGGAGGAGGAATAGTGCCCCATCATTGGTGTCAGTGGGGGGAGGAATAGTGCCCCATCATAGGTGTCAGTGGGGGGAGGAATAGTGCCCCATCCTTGGTGTCAGTGGGGGGAGGAATACTGCCCCATCCTTGGTGTCAGTGGGGGGAGGAATAGTGCCCCATCCTTGGTGTCAGTGGGGGGAGAAATAGTGCCCCATCCTTGGTGTCAGTGGGGGGAGGAATAGTGCCCCATCCTTGGTGTCAGTGGGGGGGGAATAGTGCCCCATCCTTGGTGTCAGTGGGGGGAGGAATACTGCCCCATCCTTGGTGTCAGTGGGGGGAGGAATTGTGCCCCATCGTTGGTGTCAGTGGGGGGGGAGGAATCGTGCCCCATCCTTGGTGTCAGTGGGGGAGGAATAGTGCCCCATCGTTGGTGTCATTTGGGGGAGGAATAGTGCCCCATCGTTGGTGTCAGTGGGAGGAATAGTGCCCCATTATTGGTATTAGTGACACCAATGATGGGGGCACTATTCCCACTGACACCAAAGATACTTACCTTGCAGATCCCTGCTCCAGCCTGGCTCGCTCGCTCCCTCCCTCTCCCATGGTACCGACACTTACCTGTCAGCTGTCTTCCTTCTCCGGCCGCTCTCCTCCTCTTCACTCGCTCGATCTTCGCGATTGTCCCGCTCGGCTCCTCCTCTCCAAGCTCCACCTCCTTGCCAGTGATTGGCCGCCTGTGTGCCTCTCCTGAGCTACAGTGCCGGCGGCCAATCACAGGCGAGGATTGATCTCGAGGTGTGTCCAGATGACAGGGGCGGCATGTCATCCCGCCCACACCTGGAGACGGCGGTGGCGGCGCGGCGGCGGCGAGGAGCGGTGTCTCGGTTCCTAAGACCATCGGAAATATGTGTTTTCCGATGGTCTTAGGCGACCCCCTGTGGAAGCGTCGTTCGACCCCCAAAGGGGTCGCGACCCCCAGGTTGAGAACCGCTGCCTTATAGGAACTATAGGATAACAACATGAGAACTTATAACTATTTTTTTTTACTGTAGTCTTAGCCTCTAAGTAGAGAAAAGTCAGAAAGTCAGTGCATATAAAATCTTCTTTATTAAAAAACCCATAGGGACAAAGAGGATCGAAAATACAAAAAGATACTGACACGTTTCTGCCCTTATGGGCCTCAGTAGTACACTTTGAGTCTTAGTCTCTGCTGGGTAGTCTTTCTGCCATTCCTGACCAGGGTAACACAGCAAGTTAGTTAAAATCCCTTTAAAGAACAATGTGTCCTCATTGGGAAATTTCCCTTTACTTCTAGTTTAAGTGACAGCTCTCAACTGCTGAATTTTCCTCTTCTATTCTGGTAGAGAGTGAGCAATAAAAATTGGTTGTATCTCTTCCCCTGGGAAAAAAAATTGCTCTTTGGAAATACTAATTTTACAGAATAAGTGTCAGAGCACCTTATACTTATATAATAAAAACAAGCCAATGAGTCTCCAGTGTGTACGGGGGCACAACATTGCCCCAGCTACATCACCAACCTCATCTGCAGATATCAGCCAAATCGTCCCCTCCCCTACTCCCAAGAATCTTGCTCTCTAGCTCCCTGGATACCTCCTTCCATGCTCACCTCCAGGACTTTTCCCAGAACCTCTACCATCCTCTGAATCTCCCTACCCCAATTGTCTCCTACCATGTCTACCTTTAGGCGATCCTTGAAAACTCATTTATTCAGGGAAGCCTACCACCTCTACCTCCAACAGATCATCCCCAGCAACTATCACCTTTTGTACCACCTCTTCCTTCCTTTAGATTGTAAGCTCCATGAGCAGAGCCCTCCTATTCCTTCTGTTCTGAACTGTATTGTAATCATACTGTCTCCCTTTATGTTGCAAAGAGCTGTGCAAGCAGTTGGGGCTATGTGAATCCTGTATATTAATAAAAATATTAGTGTCCCAAGTTTTATCCACTCCAAAAGGGAAATGCATGGTTCTCTCCTTATAGGGGTATATGTAGGCACAAAGTACAGTTTTAAACCCATTTTAAAATGAATAATTGGCATCTTTCCTTTATCATAAAGTAACATCATGATTTCTATTACTGTATGGGCAGTTCACTGTAACCTTTCCTGATTCCCATGAAAGAATGGAGTAGCACAACACTGTTCCCTCCCTTCTTTATTGAGTATAATCTGTAGTGACATTTAAGGTCAGGCATTCATCTAGCTAACTTAATTACGCTACTTTTGTTCTCTGAAATATCAAATTTTGTCAGTTGGCACATTACCATGTTTTCATTCTTCTAAACACAAGTCTTACTTTATATGTTTTCTTATAAAAAAAGGGTGGGTTCCACATCTGCATATTTATTATGAACTGCAATTTAATGATAACAAAGTTTAAAAATAATACAAATGTAAGCAATCTACAAATGATAACGAGCAACTCTACTCAATAAGGAATTTTCAATTTTGACTAGAGAGAGCTAAAAGTTTTAATTTCTTGTAAAGTATTTTATGTGGCATCCAGAAACCTGATAGTTTGTGTGACTGGTTGGGCCCAAGACTTTTTTTTGCCCCAGCTATCTACTGTCACTGATCTGTCACAAATCTTCATATATGTCCACCTATAATTTACAGGACACAGAAATAAAATTCTGTCTCATTCTGTATTATTGACTGGAATATATGGAAAATATACACTTACCAGCCACTTTATTAGGTAGACCTGTTCAATTGATTGGTAACACAAATTGCTAATCAGCCAATCACATGACAGCAACACAATGCATTTAGGCATTTAGACATGGTGAAGATGACTTGCTCAAGTTCAAAACAAGCATCAGAATGGGGACAAAAGGGGATTTAAGTGTCTTTGAACATGGCATGGTTGTTGGTGCTAGATGGGCTGGTCTGAGTATTTCAAAAACTGTTGATCTACTGGCATTTTCACGTACATCCATCTCTAAGATTTACAGTAGGAGGCAGTCATGTGGACTAAAATACCTTGTTGATGTCAGAGGAGAAAGGGCAGATTAGTTGCTGTGACATTCAGATGGTGGGGTCAGAATTAGGTGTAAACAACATGAAAAGCATGGATCCATCCTGCCTTGTATCAATGGTTCAGGCTGGGTGGTGGTGGCGTAATGGTGTGGGGATATTTTCTTGGCACTAATAAGGTGTACATAATAAAGTAGCCAGTGATTATATATTAAGGCTGTCTTTTTTTTGATTGACTGAGCCTTTGATCTATGTTGTGGGGGATCCAGGATTTCTCTGCAATGGCCTTTGATTTAAAGCTGAACTACTGTAAACTCCCCAATATACTCAGTAAATCTCAAAATAAGTGAGCGCTTCAAACAACTAATAAGATCAATTAGTGAATAGGATAAAATAAGAAGAAAGCAGCTGAACACCAAAAGGTACCATATAAACCTTCACAGTAATCAAAATTGCATACAAGGGAGAGGTGCAGCGCTAGCTGAATAAATATGCACTTAAATGCTTAATAAATATACACTAATATAAATCAATAAAAGTGCTATTAAAGTGCAAAACGGTGACTAAATGGTAAGTATAGTCCATAGCGTGCTCAAAAATCCAAGAGAGTCCTTAAAGAGCTCCAATCCCTGGATTCGTGGATGAGGTGATAAAGATAAGAATTGCGCACTCACCCAGATACGCAATTCAAGTGCGCATTTAAAGCTGACAATCTCAGGGTCCTCATATGGATCTGGTCAGATCTGGTCACAAAAAGCCTCTCGTCACCTGGTAGTGTTTTCCACACACGGAAGAAAGGGCCGCTCTGCAGATGTAAAGGACTCCCACCAGGAGAGCCCCAAGAACAAAGGAGGCCAGATAGTGTGATACCTTATATATAAGGGGTGTTTTATTCCCAAAGACACACAGTATACAGGCAGAGGCAGGAAAGATACTGACCATACATTTGGAAAATAAATGGCCGCCGGGGCCCTCGTGGCGCCGGTCGGCGTGACGTCACACCGCTTGTAGCCGCTCCCTGACGCGTTTCGTGCGAAGGCACGTAGTCATAGGGGGTTAGCTTACAGCAGTGGACGTCAATGTAGAACCTAAATAGGGAAAATGGCGCATGCGCTGTGATCGCGCGCCATTTTCCTTTTGACAAATGTCTCCGTATCGGGCGCCATTTTCATGTAGCCCGCCGAACCGCGCATGCGCGAGCGCTGTCAGCACGGAGTAAACGGCATATAACAATGATCACCAGGGAGAGGTGTGTTGCCCAGCAACCTGTACGTGGGGATAATCCAAAACAGCTCCATGAACAATCCAATAGAGCCATTAGTCCCGGGTTACTCATTCATGGCATAATGATCATCGAAGGGATATTTTACCCCAAAGCCTAGTATATAAATGTAAATAAAAGCAGACCCTATACTAACAAATTAGTCAGCATATGTATAATCAAAATATGTATAATCAAAATTAAAATCAGATTAAAACCAATTAGAGTATAGAGTGTCTAAAAGGTCAAATTTAAAATAAGGTTATATCTGGTGGTCATTATTAATGCCACATTCTTTAATAAACTCACATTCAGAATTTCAACTATAAAAACATGTAACATATTAAATATAATATAATATAATACAAAGCATATATAAGAAAATCACGTGATAAAACAAATTACAACCATATATAAAATATATAGAGAAAACCTTTTATATAGAGAAAAAAACTCCTCATATATAATTAATATATAAAATTGTATAAAAAAAATTTCACTATGACCTAAAACCAAAAACGCAATAAGAAGGATAAGAGACAATAAAGTGACATTTAAAGGATTCAAAGGGATAAAGCTGATGCTAAACTGTTGTCAATGAAGCAATTGATATCCATGTCTATATTAAGTCCTTTAGGACGCATACAGTCAATTTGATAAATCCATTTAGTTTCCATCTGGGAAACGGCTCTCTTTTTATTTGTTCCCCTCGAGAGAGGGGAAGAACAAGCACTAGTGAACTTCTTTGGGACTCTCAATAACAATATGCTTAACATCAGACTTACCTATGAGTATAGTAAGACCAGCATTAATTTTTCTGGATCTAACATTAATTAACTCTAATGGGGCTGTTGCAACCTCTTCCTTTTTTTTAAGGAGACGGATCGCAACAGCTATATTCCCATTAGCAGCTGCCCACCATCCATTGTGGCTTTCTAATGTACCCAAGGGTCAGTTTCTCAGAATTCGGAGAAACTGTACCTCAGTGGACACCTACCACGCACAGGCCTCTATTTTGCGGAATAGGTTCATGGAGAAAAGGATATGAGCAATCTCATCTCACTCATATCATGCAAGAGGTGGCAAATATGGACAGGGAATCATTATTGACTGACAACCCCACCTGTAAGCCTTCTAAGGTTTGTCCTTTTTTGGTGACTACATTTTCTGCTCAGTTCAAAACAGTTACGAGAATAATCAACCAAAATTGGAAGATTCTTAAAGCAGATCCAGTTTTGGCGAGATCTTGCCGGATAAAGCCGCGAGATTATGTTCAGGAGGGCACAACCTTTGAGAAACACCATAGCCCCTAATATCATCAACCCCCCTATTAAAACAGTGTTTTTTAGCAACATGGTTGGATTTTTCCCGTGCAATAATTGTATTATATGCACATGTAATGGACACAGGAAAAGGAGGATTGATGACTTTACATCTACTAGTACTGGGAAAGAACTACAAGATCAATAACTTCATATCATGCAATAGCAGATATGTGGTTTTATCTTTTGCAATGTCCGTGTAAAAA